AGGGAGAGGGGGAGGGGGAGGGAGAGGGAGAGAATCCATTTGACACAACTACTAGGAACATTTTCCTGTAAGTGGGAAAAGGAAAAATACACGACATTGGACCAAAAGGAGACAAAGGAATCACAGCACAATATTACACCCTGCTATACACTGTATTTACTGTTTGCATAATAATCACTCTTATTAGTTTTAACTTTTAGACTAATTCTGTTAAGTCTTCAAAATACCAAAGGCTTAAATATGATTACAGAATAAAATAGCAACACTCTACCCTGTCAATGTAGAATAAAGGCAGACTAACAGAAGTTAAGGAAAAGACAGGAAGGAGAATAATCTACTCTAACAGCACAGCGAACCCTGTAATACCACCTAAGTTCTAAGTATATTATGGAAATCTACAAAAATAATCCAGAGCAGAGTTTAAAATAATAGTAAAACTCTCGAACTTGGAAAGTGAGAAAAATCAGAGGTTACTTGAGTGAAATTTTCATTTATCATAGTAGAAATTCAATAGCAAATGAGTCAGTGATGACTATCCCCAGGATATGCACTCTCTCAGCATCTCTTTGGAGTTTCAGCTGGTAACTGTTAAAATGAGGTGGTAAAAACATACCTGTCAGTGAGTGTGCAATTGAATTTCTTAGAATATGTAGTATCTGGTCAACCAGTTAACCAACTAACAAATATTTAAGCATGTGTTCTATGCTTAGATATATGCTGGGTACCATATATCTGGGCATGGCTCAGAGGTTGAGCATCGACCTAGGATCCAGGCGATCGGGGTTCGATTCCCATTCAGGGCACATGCCCGGGTTGCGGGCTCGATCCCCAGTCGGGGGCGTGCAGGAGGCAGCCGATCAATGACTCTCTCATCATTCATGTTTCTATCTCTCTCTCCCTCTCCTTTCCTCTCTCTGAAATCAATAAAGATACATTAAAAAAAAAAAAAAGAGAGAGACCTCTACCTTATTGATGAGAGGGAGACACTTGCATAAGTCATTTCAACAGAGCTTGGTAGGCACAAAACAGAGGGAGATCTATTTCTCTACAAGAGGAAACAGACCAATGCCCAATAATTTGAGGACACAGCATCATTCACAATAAAAATGCTAAAATACACAATAAATGACATACAGGATTAGGAAGCAAGATTAATTCTGGCTAACACAGTCAGAAACCCTTCATGAGAGAGAGGCCTTGAAAGCTGATGTCGAATTTTAATTAATGATTCAATTTAATTAAAAATACAAAAGGAAAGTTCACAGCAAAAGCAAAAGGACAAGAGAGAGGAGTGGGGAATGAAAATGGTTCATGTTGAGACACATTAAACAAAGGGAGTGTCTCCTGAAAAGAAAACCCATAATTTATTGACTGATTACTGTGGGAGAAACTTTTTTTTAATCCTTAGCTGAGGATATGTTTTAATTCATTTCTGAGAGAGAGACATTGACGAGAGAAACAGTGATTGGTTGTCTACACGCCCTGACCGGAAATCGAACCCTCAACCTAGGTAAGTGCCCTGACCAGAATCGAATCCAAAACCTTTTCTTGTACGAGAGGATGCTCCAACCAACTGAACCACCCAGCCAGGGCTAGGAGGTACTTTTAATGGAGGAAAACAGTTTCTTAAATTACTCAGGGACAAGTAGATTGCATAGGAAACAGTAAAAATATATATAAAAGTCTTCCTCCATCCTAGCTGCAAGTGGTAAGATGTAATTATCCCAAAATAGGTCTTCCTAGCAGAGGAAAAAATGACAAAAGAGATTTGTCCGATTTTCAAGAAATTTTACTTCACAGGAGATTTGTCTTTGTTACTGTACTTCTGGCTCTGAGAGTTCACACCGACTTCAATGGGTAAATGACTAGTGAATTAGCTTCCTTTTTGCTCTTCCTCAATGCCAAAGAAAAACCTTCAATCAATTTAAGTTCAGAAAATCTCACTTCACCTCTGCCCTCATCAATACTAATACCATACAGTATTTCTTTATTCAAGTGTCTACATTTAATTTATCTTGGAAACCAAAGGGACTTCTCCCTAATAGCTATTAATCTCTTCTATCCCCAATAAGGAAGAGAGATGTCTCTGGAGGCAGGATTTTGAAACAAGAGCAGCATTTTAGCCAAGACGTATTAAGGTGATGGCATTTTCCCTGCATCAGCGATATATTTTAAGAGATTTCTGACCATCCTATATGAAACCAAATGATATAAAGAACAACCGTCAGTTTATTTTTGTAAGTAAATCATTGGGGGGAAAGAATTATTTCCGTTCGTGGCATCTGTTTCTATTTCTTGCCTTAAAGCCAGTTTCTTTTCCCTGACGTTGCCTTTGCTGTAGCCCAGTCAACAAAACCGGTACTTGCACCTCCCACTGCTTTGGCATTTCGGGACCCTGACATTTCTAACGAAGAATTAAGGGCCCTGCCACAGCTTTGAAGCGCTGGATGGAGGGCACAGGAAAGGCTGCCTCTTTGCCACTGCTCTCGGTGGCTAGCGCCGAGGGTGGAAACACAGACCTGTCTAAAGAGCTAAGGCCACACGAGAGAACTCCCGCTTGCCCACTAATGCGGACGAGACTGCGACCTGCTGCTTCCCCAACTTGGGTCCTTGGGGAGTCCCTGCTGCAGTCAGCCTTTCCTGTGCAAAACGAAGCAGAGGCCTCCAGTCCTGGGGCCTCTCGCCGCTCTCGTTCACCAAAGCGGGGGATGGTGGAGCCCTAACACTGCCTTCGAAGCGACTCCTCGACGGGACGGCTGCGTCCCCGGCGACAGTGCGGC